GAATCTTGGGGTAAGATTTGGACATGAATTTCGAACAAAAAATCGGTGTCGAGATTTGAATGCCACATTAATCTAGAGGGAAAACCACGAAGAGAAAGCCAAACTTCGTGAAAATCGGATAAGATTTGACCGAGATATGGGGGTGGTAATTTTTGACCCATGTCTATATACGAATCTTGGGGTAAGATTTGGACATGAATTTCGACCAAAAAATCGGTGTCGAGATTTGAATGCCAGATAAATCTAGAGGGAAAACCATGAAGAAAAAGCCAAACTTCGTGAAAATCGGATGAGATTTGACCGAGTTATGGGGGTGGTACATTTTGACCCATGTCTATATACGAATCTTGGGGTAAGATTTGGACATGAATTTCGACTAAAAAATCGGTGTTCAGATTTGAATGCCAGATTATTCTAGAGGGAAGCCCATGAAGAAAAAGCCAAACTTCGTGAAAATCGGATAAGATTTGACCGAGATATGGAGGTGGTAAATTTTGACCCATGTCTATATACGAATCTTGGGGTAAGATTTGGACATGAATTTCGACCAAAAAATCGGTGTCGAGATTTAAATGCCAGATTAATCTAGAGGGAAAACCATGAAGAAAAAGCCAAACTTCGTGAAAATCGGATGAGATTTGACCGAGATATGGGGGTGGTAATTTTTGACCCATGTCTATATACGAATCTTGGGGTAAGATTTGGACATGAATTTCGACCAAAAAATCGGTGTCGAGATTTGAATGCCACATTAATCTAGAGGGAAAACCATGAAGAAAACGCCAAACTTCGTGAAAATCGGATGAGATTTGACCGAGTTATGGGGGTGATACATTTTAACCCATGTCTATATACGAATCTTGGGGTAAGATTTGGACATGAATTTCGACCAAAAAATCGGTGCCGAGATTAAAATGCCAGATTAATCTAGAGGGAAAACCATGAAGAAAAATCCAAACTTCGTGAAAATCGGATGAGATTTGACCGAGTTATGGGGGTGGTAAATTTTGACCCATGTCTATATACGAATCTTGGGGTAAGATTTGGACATGAATTTCGACCAAAAAATCGGTGCCGAGATTAAAATGCCAGATTAATCTAGAGGGAAAACCATGAAGAAAAATCCAAACTTCGTGAAAATCGGATAAGATTTGACCGAGATATGGAGGTGGTAAATTTTGACCCATGTCTATATACGAATCTTGGGGTAAGATTTGGACATGAATTTCGACCAAAAAATCGGTGTCGAGATTTAAATGCCAGATTAATCTAGAGGGAAAACCATGAAGAAAAAGCCAAACTTCGTGAAAATCGGATGAGATTTGACCGAGTTATGGGGGTGGTAAATTTTGACCCATGTCTATATACGAATCTTGGGGTATGATTTGGACATGAATTTCGACCAAAAAATCGGTGTCGAGATTTGAATGCCACATTAATCTAGAGGGAAAACCATGAAGAGAAAGCCAAACTTCGTGAAAATCGGATAAGATTTGACCGAGATATGGGGGTGGTAATTTTTGACCCATGTCTATATACGAATCTTGGGGTAAGATTTGGACATGAATTTCGACCAAAAAATCGGTGACGAGATTTAAATGCCAGATTAATCTAGAGGGAAAACCATGAAGAAAAAGCCAAACTTCGTGAAAATCGGATGAGATTTGACCGAGTTATGGGGGTGGTAAATTTTGACCCATGTCTATATACGAATCTTGGGGTAAGATTTGGTTATGAATTTCGACCAAAAAATCGGTGTCGAGATTTGAATGCCACATTAATCTAGAGGGAAAACCATTAAGAAAAATCCAAACTTCGTGAAAATCTGATAAGATTTGACCGAGATATGGAGGTGGTAAATTTTGACCCATGTCTATATACGAATCTTGGGGTAAGATTTGGACATGAATTTCGACCAAAAAATCGGTGTCGAGATTTAAATGCCAGATTAATCTAGAGGGAAAACCATGAAGAAAAAGCCAAACTTCGTGAAAATCGGATGAGATTTGACCGAGTTATGGGGGTGGTAAATTTTGACCCATGTCTATATACGAATCTTGGGGTAAGATTTGGACATGAATTTCGAACAAAAAATCGGTGTCGAGATTTGAATGCCACATTAATCTAGAGGGAAAACCATGAAGAGAAAGCCAAACTTCGTGAAAATCGGATAAGATTTGACCGAGATATGGGGGTGGTAATTTTTGACCCATGTCTATATACGAATCTTGGGGTAAGATTTGGACATGAATTTCGACCAAAAAATCGGTGTCGAGATTTGAATGCCAGATTAATCTAGAGGGAAAACCATGAAGAAAACGCCAAACTTCGTGAAAATCGGATGAGATTTGACCGAGTTATGGGGGTGGTAAATTTTAACCCATGTCTATATACGAATCTTGGGGTAAGATTTGGACATGAATTTCGACCAAAAAATCGGTGTCGAGATTTGAATGCCAGATAAATCTAGAGGGAAAACCATGAAGAAAAAGCCAAACTTCGTGAAAATCGGATAAGATTTGACCGAGATATGGGGGTGGTAATTTTTGACCCATGTCTATATACGAATCTTGGGGTAAGATTTGGACATGAATTTCGACCAAAAAATCGGTGTCGAGATTTGAATGCCACATTAATCTAGAGGGAAAACCATGAAGAAAACGCCAAACTTCGTGAAAATCGGATGAGATTTGACCGAGTTATGGGGGTGATACATTTTAACCCATGTCTATATACGAATCTTGGGGTAAGATTTGGACATGAATTTCGACCAAAAAATCGGTGCCGAGATTAAAATGCCAGATTAATCTAGAGGGAAAACCATGAAGAAAAATCCAAACTTCGTGAAAATCGGATGAGATTTGACCGAGATATGGAGGTGGTAAATTTTGACCCATGTCTATATACGAATCTTGGGGTAAGATTTGGACATGAATTTCGACTAAAAAATCGCTGTTCATATTTGAATGCCACATTAATCTAGAGGGAAAACCATGAAGAAAAATCCTATATCATATATATATTCTATTTTAGAAGCTATATGTCAAGTTTGGTGACTCTAGTTCTTATTATTTACCAAAATTGCCCAAAAAACAGGATATCGATATCGATTTGTATCGATTGCTTGGAAACGGAGTAAGTTATCGATTATCGGAAACAAACTCGATCTGCGCGGAAGCTGGGAGCATCTACATCTAAAATTTCAAGTCTCTAGCTCTTATAGGTTCTGAGATCCTTGAGTTCATACATACGGACGGACGGACGGACGGACGGACAGACAGACGGACATAGCTAGATCGACTCAGCTATTTATGCTGATCAAGAATATATATACTTTATGCGGTCGGAGTTGCTTCCTTCTGCCTGTTACATACATTTGGCTTTCGCACAAATACAATATACCCTTATACCCATTTTTAATGGGTTCAGGGTATAATAAGTTGAAATCGGGCTTGAAGTCAAGACAGCAAAGAGCCAAACTAACAACTGCACAGCAATAATAATAATAATAATAGAGCACCGCGATAGATATCTATGTAACGAGCGCGCCTTACAAAGAGAAAATTGATTAAATTATAGACAAGAATTGAAATCCAAACACACAATACGACAATTGCTTAGCCAAAAACTAATTGCAAAAATGGTTTTGCAGAAATTAACGAATCTACATTCCATCGGAAAGGGACAGGAAACAATTTAAACTGTGTAAACTATTTAGAGGTCAGTCGGGAGTACATACTTTATATTGTTGTCCATGAGCTGCCTTTTCTCTCTTACACATACTTGTCTTCCAGACAAGTCTGATAATAAATCTAAGCATATGAGTTAATTAAGCTAAGATTGAACTTGACTGTGTTTAGGGCTTTACATTTAAATAGCTTAAAGCGCCCAATTTACAAGATTAACTAATTTAATTACTCTGGCACAGACTTTATGAACATTAAGAGTCTAACTGCCAAAAGTTTTTCTTGAAACCTTTAACGCCAAATATGGCCATACGCAATTACATGGCCGTCATAAATTTGTAAATTTGTACAAAAAGCATTCACAGAAGAGCTTTAGCTAAAAGTCCCCTAACGATCGCGACTTGATAAATTCAGGTAACTTGGCAAATTGCTCAAAAATGCAATCAGCCAGCCAGCCAGCCCGCAAAGAGCTGGCAAATGGCATTGAAATTGCACAACAACAGCAATAAATGGACACATTAGCCGAGCCAGTAGCAAAACTGTCAGCCACTCATTGAGCCACTCACTCAAGTGGCACCACCACCAAGTGCCATGTGCCGATGAGGCGTGCCTCTTGGGCTGGTCCAACGCGCCGACGAAGGTTAGCCGCAACACAGTCGGGCTGGGTACATCGATAGCTTTGCGCTGAAACACAATTTGGTTGCCATTTTTGTGCTGTTTGCTGGCCAGTTGAATGAACTGAACGCCCACAGCTTGCGTCTGGCCAGACGAGCGTGTCACGGATAGATACATATAAGTCGGAGCCAGCTCTCTAAGCCGCAGAGTTCAAAGCAAAGGCGTCGGATTTATTGTTGTTGTTGTCGCCAGTTGTCAACAGATGATAGCGATAAGCGGGCAACAAGCAAGACCTAGACAGAAGTCTGGAGCCTCATAACTTGCACGTTGATCTTCAGCGTAAGATCTGCGTTTGAAGTGGAAACACAATTTTTGAATATTTTCGATTAGACGAACAGTTAACACTCTGCTTTGCGGGTAGGTAATAGAAGGAGTGAAAAGTGTGAGTTATAATTTCAAATAAATCAAATCAGTAAAAACATTGCCTCGCAAGGAATTGCTCCAACTCAATAACAATCACAGCTGAAAACATATTGAAAGAAGATTTCTCCACGCTGAAGACTAGAAACCCTTGCAAACTCTGGCTTTGAATTCGTTTTTACAATATACACATTATTTTACATATATATATATATTTTTAGCTGATTCCTTAAAATAACTATACATAGAATGATCAACAATGATCTGATCGAAATGTACACACTTATTGCGGCTGAGATAAAAATGTATTACCCTCCACATGGGTATAAAAAGAAGCAAGTATCAATGCAGCAACAGTTTGATTTTAAAACTCAAGAACTTGTACGTATATTGGCCATTAAAGTTACATGTTCAAGGCTGACAAACTAAGCCAGCCATTACGATTACCCTCAATCAATGTGAGTGTATTAAAGTTGTCATAAGTTCTTTCGCGATACTGACTCACCACGCAGAGCACAGCACAGCACAGCACATATATAATTTACAATTCGCTGGTAATTCCAGCGCAATTTGTCATATGGCTGGGCTGGCGTTATCAATGATTTATAAAGATGCTCGGTTAAGTCTTACACAGGTGCATGAGAACGAAAGATGGCTACGCGAAGAAGCCATGAAATGCTAGCGAGTATCGGCAGTGGATGCCAAGTTACCAAGTTGCCGTCAGAGCGGATGTCGGCGCTTTTTGGCGGCAAATTTGTCTTGACCCAAACGCGGGCAACATTTTCATGGCTCATGGCAATGCGAGCGTCGAACTGTAAAGTTATGAAGCTGCGCCAAAACGGAAGCGCGTGTTTAAGGTTATGGGCACAGGGCCAAGATATAAGCGGGAAAACGACAGCAATAGAAACTCACCATCAATCTAGCGGACTTCGTAGCTGAAGTTTCTCAAAGTATTCGATTACAATGTGCGGGTACAGCTCAATGACACCGCTAAGCAACACCGCATCGACTACTGAGACAGCCTTCCATTTGACCACTAGATATGTCTCGCCCCTCATTTTGAAGGACTTGAGGATTTTCTCCAACGCCAGGCCCCGTTCGATGCCTTGCGGACGTGCGGGCAACTGCAGCGAATCATCCCAGTTGCCCACCTGGCTGATATGGCTGGTGGCACTACCGGCGCGCGTAGTGCTGGCACTGCTGCCGCTGCTGCCTCCGACACTGCTGACAGAGCTTGGCTCCGGCGTTTTGGGCGTACTCGGCAGTTGGCAGCTTGCTTTCGGACTGAGTGGCTTGGGTAGCTGAGTGCTATGCAAGGGCTCAGCAGCGGGCGCCAATGTTTCCTTGTTGATAGGAGATGATTTCGATAGGTTTTGTTGAGCAATTTCAGCGCGTATCCGGCTTTTGTCTGTGCTTGCGCATTGCTTTGGAGAATTCTCCAAGCGGGACAATGTATTAACGTTCTTAAAGCGGCCGTTGCCGGTCGGTCGGTTATTGCTCCGACTCCGGCCTCTGTCCAGGCTCATTCGCCGGTTCATCGACGATCCACTATGTATCTGTGAGAATACGGCCCATTAAACAATCGGGTCCTTTAACAGTACCAAACACCCAACTACTTACTTGCTCCATGGTCTCTTCAACGGAATTCACATGCATGGTCATGCGGCGTCGCGATTTTGGGGTTTCTGGCGAAATGGCTGCGGTTTTGAGCCATTGCTCTTTTATCTTATTGGGAACTGCCAGTAGTTTAGGTATTTTGGGTTGAGTTGGCGTTGGTTGTGTTTCTGGCCTAGCTGTTGGCTGTTTCTCTGGCTTTACTGTTGCCACCTGGTTTCCACTTTTTTCAGAAGCTTTGGCTTTGCTTTCATGCCACCTGCGCGCCTGCTCCTTAAGAGTTTCTATTGAACTTTTGACATAGCCACTGTTTGCGTTAACCTCCCGACGCTCCATGGTACTCGTTTGTCCCGTAGCAGGTTGTTCCGCTTCATCATCAGTATCATCTTCACTGCTCAGGTTGAGCTTGTGCGCAAAATCAAGATTTATGAAAAACGGATTGCTTTTAGGAACCGGGGGCTGCACTGACGTCCGTTTTCTCTGTTCGCCCCTTTTGCTATTAGTGCTGCTGTTACTGCTGCTGCCGCTTCCACTGCTACTACTACTGCTATCACTATCGGAGGCACTGCTACTGTCGCTGCTTAGATTAAGCTCCTCACAGAGCTTTGGGCTTGCTTTGGGCGTAGGCAGTGGCAGTGGCAGTGGCAGTTGTAGTTCCGGCGCTTGTTGTTCCTGCAGTTGTTGTTTCTGGGGCGTTATTTTCTTCTGCGGCATTTTCTTCTCCTGTATTCCCGCCTGCAGCTGTTGCTCCTGCGGCAGCTTCTCCTCCTGCAATTGTTGTTCTTGCAACTGTTCCTCCAGTTGCGGCTGATCGCTTTCTTCTTCTTGCTTTACGTCGGCCAAGTCGATCATTGGCAAAGGCATTTGGATGAGCTGGGGACGCGCATTTATTGAAGCAGCAGGACTTGCTGCGGAGGGACTGTTCTCTTCAACATAAAGTGAGCTACTACTTGGACTCGCATCATTCAGAGCGGTAAGTCCCATGGATGCGTCTGTTTTGCACCTGGCCCGTTTACATTGCTCAGCAAATAAATCGGCCTCAAAGTCAGCTAGCATTCGCATACAATCGCCGGTTAGGTTCTCGATGGGCTCCCACGTACATTCTTCCATTGAATAACCCTGCCATTTTAATAATAGCTGAGCTCGCCCATTTACGTAGCGCTTCTTCAAAATTTTCTCAACATAGTGAGTCCCGTCCGCTCTTCTTCTTTTGGGCTTTTTAGCGGCACCGACAGACGTTGGAGCACGCGCGGGCGAACCACTTGACTTCCTTTTGCCAGAGCTTGACGACGACGACGAGTTTTGGCGATTGCCCTCGGACATTTTGAAAAGAATTTAAAACTGGAGCAAAGATTATGCACTTTAAGTGCATAAAGCGCGGGTAAATAAGAACCAACTAAATACGGCAATAACTGCAACGAATACGGGTCAAATAAAATAAACAAATTATGTACTTGTTACCTCCAGATGCTGTAGGCCGTACAGAAAATACACTATATATTTTGAACACGTGACCGGGAATACAAATTCACTAGTAAAAATTTCACAACAACTTGCAGCTCGCAACTCACTCGCCAAAAGAAAAAGCGCAGTAACAGGATCTAGTGTTGCCAGACTTTGAAAACCTAGCAATATCGATTACAGACAAAACGCTTTTGCTTCGATAGTTTTTGTTCTCCCACTTGTAGCTCATTGTTATTAAATACGCCAAAAAAAAATTAAACTGAAATTAAACTAAAATCAACTATATGTGCATTTAACATTTTTTTTGCAAAATTCAGACACTTTTTTCAGTATTTTCTTTATTTTTTTTATAAAAGTAACAAGTACTGCTGCCTTGTGCACCTGTTAAGTATTTATACCCTGTACTCATTCAACAAAGGGTTGTATCATTTTATGTAACATGTATAAAATATTCATACATATTTTTGATCAGCGTCAACAACTGAGTTTTTCTTATGATAAAATTAGTCAATTTTAATGGTTATAAAATCTAGAAAGAGAATATTTGGCATATTATTCCACACATTAGTTTTGATCAGAGTTTGAATGTCTTCGATGTGGGTGTGGATTAAGATGAATAGGAAATGTATTTTCACCTTCCAAAAACGGGCATATCTATATTGCTTTCAGATTTCAGGCTTAGACCTGTTAATAGGGTATCTTTCAGTCAGACAATCTGTTTGATTAATTTTGACATTAAACCCGTTTTTCGTGCTCCTTTTAGAGCGCAAAACTGCAAAAGCAAATTTAGTTTAGTATAGCGGAAATATTGTGCACTGTGAAATGTAAGTATTTTAATTGGCCATTCGCAAAAATGCCAGCCCGTTGAGTTTTTAGGTACACAACATTTTTTTGGGCTGAAAATCGCAGTGGATAGATTTTAATGTAATGCTATGATGCGGGTATCAAGTTTAGTTTTACATATGCATTGTCAATGGAATGTGTTTCTCATCATTATCGTACAGAAACTGCCAATTTAAGAAAAAAAATAAAAATAAAAAGTAAAAAAAGTAAAGCAAAAGAAAATAAGCTACCAATTACTCATAGATGTGAAGTCTTCAGAAATGCGTGTACTTGCTTGTATTCATATTGCCCAGGCCAATGAGCAAGGTATTCGTCACATTCGGACGAGTACTCGACTTGTTTATCAAGCCGAGAGCTTATGTGTGACAGTTTGAAGAAAATCAGTCGAGCTCGAGAGGCAGACACTCGGTTAACTTGTGGGGCAACTTGAACATTTCTTTCACTTTTGTACATTGTGCAGCATATCTCTATCTGTCTCTATCTATTTAATTCGATAAAATTAACAACTTGATACATGGCTGGAAGAGAAAAGTGAAATGGCGCACAGTTGAGTGCTGCAAGGGTAAGCTCAAGGGTTTTCAAAGTCAGCACACGAGCGATTCGCTTTCGTTTTCATTATTGTTACAAAATATCAGCTCTCTATGGACAATTTGGTTGGACAATACATTCGTGCATACTTGTGTACATATTTAGTGTTTTAATTTGCATAGTTGTCGGCAAAAAATGCGCCCAGAAACTTGTTTTTTATACGACAACAACACGCGCGACTAGATGTCTGTATATGAAATGAATGTAGATTTCCAAGAGTTGTATTTCTTGATTTCGAATTAATGAGTATCTATGCACACATATATGAAAACGCACATATGGATTTATTCAGTGGAGATCATCAGCTCTTCATTAGTTAGTTAATTTCATTAACGTGTTTTTTGTTGGACAACCTCACCAAAGCACGGTTTTTATTTTACTGAAATTCATTTGGCTTCTACGCTGTTTGATTTTTTCGTTTTGGTATTGGATTTTATGATGGTAGAAAGGTGTTGTCATCTTCAGTTTTGACCCATGGGTGTTACATAAGAAATTGTATTTACATTTCTGACAGTTTGTTAGCTTTGCTTTGTTTTCAATTGATTTAATATGGTTATAATCAGTTTTTCAATATATAGATTTATGTAATGAGCATATACTAACAGAGAGTATATGATTACTTTTAATATTTTATGTAATAAAATTAACAGTTTATTAACCCATTGAAACTTTCCTCTCGCACTATATTCGAATCTCAACAGGAACGGAAAATATGTTCGATATTTCTAATCGATATTGATTGCACATCGATTAATTGTAAACAGTTTACAACACCGGATTTCTGGCGCCTAGGTGGCATCCCTAAGAAAAGTATACAAAGAAAAAGGGAGACAAAATTACGACAAGTGCAGACAAACACTCAAGCAAACAGTTAAGTCTCGTTGTGAGCGGGAAACGTTAAAAGTGCGTGAGTTGGTGCAGTTGCTTGTGTATTTTTATATATACATAAGTTTATTTGCACATTCTGTGATTCGGCATAAGAACTTCTATATACTGCATTCGAATTTAACCGTTAAGATAAGACGCTTGCACCCAGGGTGACAATGATTTTATTGACACATTGACATTATAACACACTTAAAAAGCGAAGTCATCTTATTACAACAATCGTAAAAGGTTGCCGAAAAAGTGCGAATCAACAGTAACTTGCAAGGGGCAAATATTTAGGTAAGTCAGTATTTACATACACATGCATACGTACACATAATTACGTAAATACACAAATACATATGTATGTATGTATGTATGGTACGAAGTGTGTATTTTAGTATTTAGTATTTATTTAAAGCTGGGCTTAACATAAGTTTGACAGCTGTTGTTGTCTCTGTATAAATAAACATGGCTCCGAAAATTGAAAATTCTGCTAAACTGTGAACAGTTAAACGTCAACTACGGAAGTACGTGTTGTATTTTTATTTGGGTTTATTATTGGTTATTTTCTTTCCGTTTTTCAACTTCTTCGTGACAAATGTCGGCAATTCTTTTCGTTTAACCTTTTAATTTTGATCACGCATTTATTGTGTCATATCGTCTGCTTCTTCTTCTTGAGGCTGTTCACTAAGCAGACCTCGACTAAGTTCCGGCTCCGGCTGGCAGAGGCCTGTAAAGATCTCTTGGCAGCATCGAGATAAATTAGCATGAAATGAATCAGCGGCAGAGGTTTCTGTTTCTGTATTCTGCTTTGCTTTGAATAAAACAATTATCGTAGCCAAGATAACACCAAAAACAAAAATAAAAATAAGATAACAGCAACAACAACAACAACAATTGCGACAAAATTATGACTAAAAGCGCCGGGAGTTTCGAAAATGTAATTTGAATTTTTGTATACCTACCTACTACTTGTTATGTGGTTTGTACGAAAATATAATAAAAACCATATGTAAAACGTAAAACTCACTCACCTTGTGCTATGCTGCTGCTGACACAGCAGAAGACGATGAAGAAGCTGAGCAGGCTGCTCCACAGTTGCGTTCGCGTTCGCGTCGACTGCGACTGCGACGTCGACAGCGACAGCGACGCCCGCTTCGGTTTGACAGGCATTTTTGGGCTTACGAGTTATCCAAAAGGCTTTTGTTTATTAATTTTGTGTGTGCCTGCTTGTAATTTTTGTACTTTTGCGTAGTATTTAGCATTCGATTTGTAAATTATTAGCAATTCATTTGTTAGCTCAGTATTTGCATTTTGTTTTTTAATTACCACAAATGCCGCTTAGAGCACATTTAACCAAATTTTAAGAGCTACAGGTTTAACTGGTTTTTTTTTTTATATATTTTTGCTGTGTATTTAAAAGATATTGATGAGTTACCGTTATAAAGTAATTTATAAATATTATGATTTCATTTTGAAGTCAAAAATTAACGAAAGGTTCAAGGCTTTTTAGAGAATTTGCGGATAACATAAAAATTTGGAACGATTCATTTATAAAAACTGTTAAAATTTAAAAAGGTTTCTTTATAGAAATTTTATTTTTCTTCATATGTTTGTTGCGGACTTTGCCTTTCAAGACTTTTGTACAGAAAAAGTGGCTGTCAAATTTTCACCTGTTGCTTGGAATCTGTGCAAAATGTTGGCAACCCTGACCTTGAGTTATGATATATATTCTGAAGATTCATTCATTTAGAATCATTAATGCAATTTGAGCATTTTTTTGTTGTTTATTTTTCTTTTGCTGTCATTTCTATTTCTAAGCTGGCATTTGCTTTTAGCCATTTATTATAACTAATTTTTTAAAGAATGACAGAAAGTGTGAAACATGTTACTCTTCTCCCTCCAGCATGAGCAGAGAGAGAGAGAGAGAGAGAGCGAGAGAGAGAGAGCGAGCGAGCCATTGTCGGACGACCTTCGCTTATTGCTTGGCGTTTTATGTGGGCAAGCTTTTAATTAATATTTTTAATTAATAGCTTTTAATGCATATTCTTGGCGGTTTCTAATTGGAGGCCAGCTAAAACGAAAGAGGGCCAGGAAAACGTTATGCTAATTTCCAATTGGCGGCCCACAGACAAGATTCTTATTGGTTTTAATTGGCCAACAAGTGCAGTGAGGCAAAATGAGGCGCGCACAGTGACCACACAGCGTGATTCGAGTTGTTAAAACCAAACTTGATTTCAATGCAAAGTGAAATTTTCCACACACACACACACACACACTCACACACACACACACATAAGTAAAAGCGTTGAAAGACAACTTGCAGCAACAAAACAAATTCGAAATTAACAACAATAATGTTCGCAGTCCGTAATGACCGAGTGACTGAACTGTTGGCTAGGAAAACGGGAGTGGAGGAGGGGGAGGGAGTCGTTGTTTTGGTGACTTTTATGACGTTGGATCAAGCGTAATGCAAAATTACGCGTTTTGCATACACAAGACAACGAACCGAATACCGAATTCCGATTTGAGCCGCGTTCGACAAGAGCGACCGATCGAGCGATCGGCCATTAAGGTTGCGCCGGACGCACTTGCTCCACTCAGGCACTTACACACACTCGCACACACACAGTCACTCAGTCACCGGCTAAGGCAGCGGCTATGTTGTTTGGCTTTGGCTACACGCAAAACGATTTCTGTCCGGCCAAGAGTCGCAGTCGAAGACGTACCGTGGGCCACAACCAAGCTGAGACGCGTTTCGAATTGAACTAAAGCTGAAGAATGGTAGCTAACGGTGAGCGAGCCAAGCGGCGGCGGCTAAAACACGTTTTAGCCAAAGACAAGTGCATGTGCTCTCCCCAAAGAGAACGAGAGTGTGTGAGAGACAGACAGAGAGAGAGAGAGAGAGGGAGCCGCAAACTTTAAGCTGGGCCCGCAGCGCGTGACTGCGTTTGCATAGGGTTGTCAAGTGCTTGCCGGGTTGTGCGACATTCCAGCTTGATATATTGTTTATTAAATAAATTAAATTAAATGTAATTTGAGACACCTTAGTGAAAGATAGGAAACGTGATTCTGTTCAAACCAAATATATAAGAAATTATAATGAATGTCGAAAATGTACTCAGTGCATGATTCGGAATGCTCTTATATAACTGGGAACAGATTATGTCCTGGCAGGGCACGCTCATATTTGAATGTGTAACGGCTTAAATAGCATAGACAACAACCCAGCTGTTACCTAGCGAATGCACTGCAAAGAAACCAGAATTACTCCACATTTAACGAAATTGATTCCCGTCGGCCTTAGCCAAGACACAGTCCGAAACGGAAGCTTTGAAAGTGCGATTAAAAAAAGTAAAAATATTGTTAAAAACATGAAGTCATGTTATGTTGTGATATATAAAGTAAATTGATAATTTTTAATTACCTTAAATACAATTATATATATATGTGTATATATAATAAATATGTTTTTAGTTTTAAATTATATTTGTTAATACTAAAGATTTATTTAAAAAAAAATCAATTTTATTTTAATGTCACTTTTATGAGCTCCTTATTTTATACTAGTTTTTTTTTTTACTGAATAACTAGGTTAAGGGTTTAAAGCATTTCCCAACTCCCAGCTCGATGAGTTCACCTAAAAGGTGCGCATAATCACATTTCCAATTTCAAATGTCAACGGGATTTGGAACCCATCTGAAATCAAATATTTGCGCAGTCCGATAAATTACGGACGCAAAGAATGTCTGGAAAGCGATGGCAGATGGCCAGTTGTTAACGATTCGCTAGTTATACCCTTGCGAAGGGTATTCACATTTTGTCACGCAATATGTAACGCATATATATTCTTGATAAATATTGAAAGTCGAACCGATTCTGCCAAGTCCGTCTGGCTGTTTTTTTTATGCAAGTTAGTCTCTAGATATTAGGCAGAATCGACCGAATCGGATTACTTTATCATCAAATGCCTTAAAAATAGTCTGTCGATCAAGTTCTTGTTAGAACTGTTTTAGGAATTAGGCATTTAATAGTTAAAGTGTATCTCAACTTCTCTTCTATGTATTGCAGCCCTAAAGAGTTGATAAATGGGTTTATCTATGGAAAACTTTTCTGTCTTCACCAAACTTTAATATTATAATATTTTAACAAAACTTCTATGGAATCCAATCAAAGTTCTCTATTATATGCCTACTAACGAAAGCCACATGTCCGTAAGGGTATTTAATCTTCGGCTTGTCGCAGATAGAAGTTCTTTCTGGCTTTTCGGCCACCTTTGGTGGCAATGCTTATGGGTATTCATTTTTGCAGGCACTGTTCAAATGGGGCAACAGTCAGAGTGAGAGTCGGACTCGGAGCCGGAGTCGGGCGGGCATTTGCTGTTGGTCGATATGGATATGGATGTGACATAAACGTTGGCTCATCACAAGGACGATGGATTGGAAATATGCAAATGATGTGCGGCAACTTCCTGACCCTCTCGCAATTCAGTTGCAAGTGCAAAAAACTCTGTTGCATGCGGCAAGGGGCAAGGGGCAGCATGTCCCACCTGTAGCCCAGCGCATGCAACTTTTTGCTGCCAATCTTCATATGTGTGTGTGTGCGAGTGTGTGTGTGCGTGTGTGTGTTGTCCGTTTCAGCTTCAATATTTTAATCTATTTGCCGGCAGCTGAAGTTGACAGCTTTGAGACGATTCGCGCGCAATTTCTTTTACAGCTTAAATCGAAAAAAATTTGCTCCTCACATTTTTTTTGTCAGCCTTCAGTTTTCTTCTTTCTCATTTCTGTATTTCTTTATTTTTTTTTTATTTATTTTTTTTTGTGTTTTCATATCTTTTCTATTTGTGTAACCGCGCAAGATGAACAGAATGCCAGAACACAATTTATTTCGTGCGTGTCTTTGACCTCGACAGTTGCCTTCTTTGTGTGAGTAATTGTCCCTGTGTGTGCGTAGTGTGTGTGTGTGTGATGTGTCAGCATCTGAATTTTTGGCAGATTGGGCGCCCAGAAACCCGCAGAAAAAAACTACTCTACGACATTCAAGGCTTCCACTGGAATGCATTCAAGCATGTGAAAAGGTCCGTCAAGTTTAAGGACTTCTTTTTCCTAAGCCTTGAAAGTTTCATTTGAAGTATGCTGGTTTTTAGCCAACCTTCAAATTATTTTGTTAGGGAAGGTCTGGTTCTTAAGTCGGGAGCCGTGCATAATGATTATTTCTAATTGTTACATTACAAAAAAACATCTAATTAAGTTTAGGAACAATATCTTTAACAGATTTTTCGGCATTTGCTAAAAAAA